AATTATAAGTGTGAACAGTTAGATCACTAACTTTGCCCTATTTTCCCTTTTACAAAATAATCAGACAACAAAAAATGTTTCCAAAGTGGGAGAAACTTGGAATATAATATATTACTGAACAAAGCCATTTGTATGCGCTCAGGACTCCAAAATGCCAGGGCAGTAACATTTATCTGTGCCTTGGAAAATATTTCCTCCGAAACCAGAAAGTGCTCAAATAAAACGACTACTACTCAGTTTTCAGATTTGGCACATTCACTAAAGTATTCTTCATAGCCTTCTATTTTTTCATAACAGACCTTATGGTAGGAACATTCCAATGCATTCCATTTGCAATCAGCCATAATCCCTGTGAGCAGCAGTCCAGGCCAGCTTGCCAGTATAGCAGCCTTTTCAATGCAGCTAACACATGTGGCTACAGTATATTTATTTCATTTTTGCAACAATTCTATGTTCAAAATATATGTACTCTCCCAATCTAAGCCCAATTTTTTTTTTAAAAAAAGCCATTAATACTTTCCAAACATAGCATCTTTCACACAAATGCCCCACTTAAAAAATCTCTCATTTAAAAATTTGAATTACATATTAGTCAAATTACTAAGAAATTGCCATATAAGACCAAAAACAGAAACAGAAAACTAAAGGAAAGTTTTCAAATGTTGGATACAACAGTTCTCGTACAATTAGTTAAAGATTTCTGAGAACAGACTCCCTTTCAAGGGAAACAAAATGACCCTGAATCTCTGAGCCATGACAAAGTAAGTATTTAGCTAGAAAATAAACCCTAATTTTTCCAAGGCCAATTCTTCTAATGAGGATTTTTGTTTCAGTAGATTCTTAATTTAAAAGTCCCAAATTTCTCCTGCTGAAATTTTGCGTGCGGCGAGGCAATGTGTTATAGTCAGTTGAGGGTCAGGAGTGCCATTATCTAATCCTAATACTACCACCAATAAGCTCAAATAATAAGCTACAATTATAAAAATTTCCCCAAATATACTGAATGCTTATTTTATTTTATTTTATTTTTTTTATTTAAATGTTTTGGCAGCTGTCAGATATGGGGGATCCAAAACCTTGGCCTTGGTGTTATAACACTGCACTCTAACCAACTGAGCTATGAACGTTTAGTTTAAATCCTATTCACTCCTCAAGTCCAGTTTAAATACCATGTCATGGATAAATTCTTACTTATGCCCTCTGCCAACCCACATTTGCATTTTCTTAAAACCCTTTTTCATAGCAATTATCACTTTGATCACTTTTACTTTGTATTGGTGTTATTTTAGTATGTTTTATCTCTCCTATCACAACTTTTAAATTGCCCTAAGGGCAGGACCCCATGTTACATACAACTCTGTGATTCCTACAGACTCACATTATAGCAGACTTTCAAAAGGGCATAAGGGAAAAAAAGGACGGGCAAGGCAGAGCCACTCGGCCTGTTGTCTAGGAAGGTTTTGAAAATATGGTGGAAAAACCATTAGCACTTCAGCACTGTGCTTGAGGTGGTTCACAGTTTGGTTTCCATGGTACTAGTACAATATAACCAAGCCCATTCTAAACAAATTATTAATTACTTTTACTACAAACCTAGTGTCTCTTCTTTAATGTTTCATCAAAATACATAGCAATATTTTCAATAATTCTGGAGAGGTTTTTGTGTGAGATAAGCAAAAATGGGTGAACAGTTTATATACCCAGAAACTCTAAAATTTTATGGCCCTACTCTCAGAAGCTGTTCAACTAGGATTCTTTTTTTCTTCTTCAGATTGTTTTCTACAACAAATGAAAACTTCCGAAATCCTTTATTCAGAGTGAACGTCATATTCTGATAACTACTTTTTTCTCCTAAACTGACATTATTTTGTATATAATCAAAACAATAAGGTCAAAACAAGAGCGACATATCTTAGAAACAATGAGACTTAATTCCTTCTTTATTAGCCATCAATAATTGAGTTTTAATCCAGATGATCAAAAAATAGCAAAATCAGAAATCAAGCAGACCCATATTCGATTTCTCATAACTACCCAGAGCTATAGAAACCCAGAACTACAAAAAAGCTTTAAAATTTTAGCACATACTCTGATAATTTTATTTTCCTGGATAGTCAATTGATTACTTTTTGATACTCTATTTAGTACTTAGCATATTTTCTACTCAGTATATAATAGATACTTGCTAATAAATACAACCTTGTTAACTTATATGTATATTCTTTCATGCTAAACTATCAAAAAAAAAAAACCCAACTCACGTATTATAAACATGAATTGTATCATTCAGGAATTTAAAACATACAATGCAATCAAGACTGAAAAATAAACTACTATTACACATTATCACTAATTGAAAGGGAAAATAACTATCTTAGAGAAAGATGCTGCTGCTTAAACTGTCTCTAGGAGGAAATCTAAATTATTACTGGGAAGAAACCTAACATAAGTTGCTTCTAGGAAGTGGAACTTCCTAGATAGGTTATATGATATAGTTGACTACATCACAGGATGAGAGGAAGTCTGTATTGCACACTCTTTGTACCTTCTGAATTGTATACTTTGTGAGTGAATGTTTCACTTATTCACAAAAGTAAATCAAAATTGGGGGGGGGATAATGCTATTTGGCCTTGACAATAAATACAAACATAACCAATTTAAGATGTGGGCATTCTAAAATGATCTGTCATCAAGAAAAAATATTAGTATCATTACTTGTACTAATAAAAACTTTCCATTTACTTATATGATAAATTGATTTTCGCATTTCTTGGATACGGCCTTTTAATACTTATTTCCTGCTTAAAAGTTTTTAGTAAAATTTCCAACCGTACAAGGAGAGTAGCAACAGATACCCCCAGCATTAAAGAAAATAGATCCTCATGACACTGGGGATTTCTCTTGGATAGGCAAGAGACATTCAGTATGTGAAACATACAGAGAAAAGTAGTTCTTTTTGGAACCACTTCCTGCTCTTGATCCAGGATTACCTAAAGTCCACCTTTTAAAAGAACTTGTGATATATACCAACCCACATATTTAGAGCCAATGCCAAGAGCAAAAAATGCCTCCAAACAAAGCAATTTATTTTCTCATCTCAACAGATAAAGAAAAACAAAGTTATAATTAATTGTATTATTCACAGAGAGAAATGACAGGCTCAATAATTAGGGCTTAGTTACATAATGTATAAAATTTAATTATTAAAATGAAGTACAGGGCCGGCCTGGTGGCGCACTGGAAAATGCACCGCTTGGGAGCGCGGCGGCACTCCCGCCGAGGGTTCGGATCCCATGTGGAGACCAGTTCCCGCTCACTGGCTGAGCGTGGTGTGGGCACAACACCGAGGGTTGCGATCCCGTTGCCGGTCAGTAAAAAAGACAAAAAGGAAAAAAAAAAATGAAGTACAAACAATAACACAGTTTAAATGAATGACATTCAGGGCCGAGACCATGGGGGCACTCGGGAGGGTGTGGCGCTGGGAGTGCGGCAGCGCTGGGAGGTTCGGATTCTATATAGGGATGACCGGTGCGCTCACAGTGCTCACTGGCTGAGCGCGGTGCAGCCGGTCTCAAAAAGGACAAAAAAAAAAATTTTTTTTTAAAAGAATGACATTCAAGAACATAAACATTTAACATGTTATTCTCTAGTTTAATTGAGTCTAGACCAAACTTTAAGAAAGGAGCAAATGGTCAATATTAACTTTTTAAAAATAGCTTTACTCCGATATAATTTATATACCTGTTTAAGGTGTACAATTCAATATTGATTGTTGCATCTTTTTCTTTGACAATTATTCACAGAATATAATTCGTATAACCACTGACACAATTGACAAATGTAAAATACAACGGTACAGCTTTACTTTTGAATCTTTTTTTTAAAAAAACAGACAGTTGCAAGCTCTATATATCAAGCTCAGAGAAGAGGTTAAGCAAAAAATAAAAAATAGGAGTATAAGAAAGTTGTACATGAACTAGGGCCGGCCCGGTGGTGCACTGGAGAGTGCGCCGCTTGGGAGCGCGGCGGCGCTCCCGCCGAGGGTTCGGATCCCATGTGGAGACCAGTTCCCGCTCACTGGCTGAGCACAGTGCGGGCGCAACAACGAGGGTTGCGATCCCGTTGCCGGTCAGTAAAAAAAAAAAGACAAAAAAAGGAAAAAAAAAAAAAAAGTTGTACATGAACTACCTGAAATGTGGGCTGCAATATTTAGCTGTATTTCTGTGAAACAAATATTTCCCACTGGTAGACTCCTCTACACAGAACACTGGCAAACGGCGCACAAGCAGATGAGGTCAGAATGGTTACTGCAGCAGTAACTAGCATCTGAAAGAGCAACCATTCTGCTTTATCACAAAGTTACAGTTTTATAGATGGTAAAGCCTACCTTTATTTTAAGTAATAATTTGCCTACAGACCCACGTCAAGTAATTTAGTAGTGCAAGTACAAAAGAAACTAGCGTAAGTCACTTTTCATCTAAGCAATTCTATCGAGTAACAAGCTAGGAAACAATGACTGATAATTTTAGTAAACATTTACAAGCTTATAGTTATATCCATCATTCAACTCAAAGAACCATTATAAGGTAGAAGAGTAAGTTTTAATTACATCTTGGCAAGCTAAAGTGCTATTTTAAATCAAGAAAGAAAATGATTGAATCTTGGGGCCTCAATAGGCATATTCCACGACAGGATTTAGTAAAAATCACTGTTTAAAACCTTTAATATTATTAATATTTCAACTTAATAAGCATTAACAGTAGCTAAATTAGTTCAGTTATGCAGGGTTTCTCAATTGTAAAGAGCAAAATAAACAGTCCATATTTAAACATACTGCAGCAAATATCACAGAAGGGAAAGTATTCAATAGATTATGCAGAATAGCAAAGTTCAAAATGTTAATAAACAAATGTTCATTTATTCTGACCACAGCAAGAAGGGAAGGAAGGGAGGAGAGGAAGGTGAGATATAAAACTGATAGAAAAAAACAGGTACTCACTGGTCGAGTTGCCTTGCATCTGAATGATACACTTGGACTCCTTGCTAGTCTCTCGAGAATTGAAGGGCCTCACCCGGACAGCTACCTTCACTGAGGCTCCCGACATTCTGATGGCCTTGTTATATATATGCAGTCCAGAAATAAAGAATCAAATCTTCTTTTGAAGTTATGTTCAAGTTCACTTTAAAAAGAAAAAAAATCACATACAAGGTAGTCAGAATTAAAGAAAGCATGGGCTAACGTAAGCATGAGAGCTACTATTTTAGTTCTATTTCTATTTCCATTTCTAAAAACTTCATTCCTTTTCTCTCCTGCAAATCTTATATCCTCAACAGTAAATTATCAAATAGAAAATTAAAGACTAAAATTTGTTTCCTATTCCATTATCCCTTTCCCATATGTAAAAAGTCCCTAAACTTATTAATAAAAAATATAACTGCAAAGTAACAGGCATTTATATTGCTTTCTGTGTTTCCGAATGAATCTTCAGTAACATGAAAAACACAGAATGTTTACTTGTCGAAGAAGTTCCTTAAATAGGTAACTTTCCATCTGCAAACCACATTACTTTTCTTTAAAGAAATGCATTGAACTTTCTATAATTTAATTACAGTTTGAAACATTTGCTTACATGACGTATAATTAAACAGCAAAGGACAAAGATAAATTCTAGCCTGCTCCTTTAACTAAGCCATGCAGTAATCTTTAATTTCAATGATGCCTTGCATATCTCGTTTGAAACCTCACAACCACCCTAGTACAATAAGCAGAGAAGTTTCCAAGAGACCTGGGTTCTATCCTCATATGTGCCACTGACTCATAGCAGAATCAAATCACTACATTTCACCACTGAAAGAAGCCTCAGGAAAAATGTGAACATTTTTCAGAGGAATTGTTTCCCTCCCAACATAACAAAACAAACACTATTCTGTGAAAACAACCCACAAAAGTTCCACAAGAAAACAACCAATGTCTCTAGTGAGAAATCTGTACTCTACCCATTATATAAACATCTACAAGAAGAACCAAATAAAAGAAAAAACTAAGAAAGAAAAGTATTTATGAGTCCAATTATCAGGGAACCCCAACAGTACTTAAATCTAACCAATTTTTTCTACATAATTAAGTAGAGAACTGGAATGCTAACCTCCAGCTGCACACCACCACCAATGTGCCCATCAGGAAAAGGCAAAAAAACAAAACAAAAAAACCAAAATGTCATTCTCTACCTCATTACTCTATCTTATTTTCTTAATTGCATTCTCACTATTTGAAATTCTTGCTTTTTGAAACATGTCTCTTGTCTGTCTCTCATACCACTACTAGAATGCCCAGAAATCTTCTCTGTCTGTTTGCTAGCACTTAGAACAGTACCTGATGTAAGAACTCAGTAAATGTTTGCTGAAGAAATAAATTAATGAATCATATTTCTCAGTTGTGAGAATTATTTGTTTAAGTCTTTTGCCGGGTTTATAGATTTTCTGTTTTTGTTTCAAATGATTACAATATTTTTTGATACTTCCTGTAAATATTTTTTCTAGTCTAGTTTCTCATTTTATTTTACATTAAAATGATATCTCTTTATGGAACATATCAAATATTTTTGTGATCACATTTACCAAATAAAAGCTTAGAGTTATTAACCCTAATAAATTAGTTATTAATAAATGTAGCATGACTTATATTCAATAGTTGAGTACTTTGCCAAGGCCACGAATGAAGCATTCAGAAAAAGCAAGTCATAGAGAATACATTCCAAACCCCCAGAGTTCCCTTTGATATATAGCCATCATCTTAATACCCATCATGTCCAAAAACTCATTATCTTCTCCCCCAAAATAGCAATTTCTGCTAATCTTCTTATTTCTATCAACATTATTCTCCCAAGCCCCAATACCATAAATCTGGAGTCATCTTTGTTTCCTTCTCTTTGAATCCTCTTATTAATATTATAATGAAATAACATATGAAAAATTTTAAGACATAAATTTGTATTATTCTATGCTTCCCTTCCTCTCATTCCCATTGCCATTACCCTAAAATCCATGTCCTTACTACCATATACCTAGAATACTTGCAATAGCCAAACTGTTCTTTAAGCTTTTAGTATTTGATCCAATAGTCCTTAAACAAGGTTGCACAAAACAGAATCACACCAGGGTCCTGTGAAAAGCAAATGAGCCTAGATTCCTTCAATCTGGTATTCAACAGTTTTGAGACAGGCCCCAGCTATGGGTTTGTTTGTTTTTAATTTTTCAAAGATGCTGTGGCGATCCCTAGCTAAGAACCACTGCTTTAAGCAACTGCTAAACACTGTTGCAAAATCAACCTTTCTAAAACACGACTTTCAATGTCACTCCCAATTGCAAGAAATGTCTCTTACTCCCTAGGGCTAACAAGATCAAGACCAAAGTCAAGGTACTCTGTTCTAGACAAGCTCCTTTACTATCCCACACCCATGTTCTCCTCATTATTTCGCCCCTACAATGGGCATATGAGTTTTCACTTTATTCTCTACTTGATTGCCCAGTTCCAGTCTTACCTCTTCCAAAATGCCTTACCCAAACATTCCAGGAATCAATGGTATATCCTCAGCTCTTACAGCCTCAAACATATTGTGAGAACACTGCTATCATTTTATATGACTGCATTCTATCTTGTAGTGTTACAAGCATTCTATCATGTATTGTTATAGCTTCTCAAAGTGAAAACCCCATTCCTTCAAATATCTTTTCGAATTTGGGCTCCTTGAAAAAAAATGGCTCATTTCAAGATGATCCTAGGACATTTTACTGTGCCCCAAAAGAAGATATCCATCAAAGATAAACAGGGTCAAGTCAAAAGGACACAGACACCAACTTAAAGAAGCTCCTACTGGCCAAAGATAGGATAATTAGAGCATTAAAAAAAAAAAAAAAAAAAAAAGACTGCAAATGAAATGAAAAACATCAAATAAATAAATTCATGAGTTCATAATGATAACTTTTTGGCCAGCGGGGGGGTGGGGTGGGGTGGCGGGGTACAGTTGGCAGTATGGGGATCTGAACCCTAGACCTTGGTGTTATCAGAACCATGCTCTAACCAACTGAGCTAACTGGCTAGACCCCATAATGATACTTTTAAAAAACCTCATTATTCTTGGGGCCGGCCCGGTGGCGCACTGCTACAGTGCGCCGCTTGGGAAGCGTGGCGGCGCTCCCGCCGAGGGTTCGGATCCCACATACAGACCAGCTGCTCACTGGCTGAGCGAGGAGCGGGGGCAACACCGAGGGTTGCAATCCCGTTGCCGGTCCCGGTCCGGTATGGGCGCAACACTGAGGGTTGCGATCCGTTGCCGGGCACGAAAAAAGCCAAAAAAAAAAAAAAAAAAACCCTCATTATTCTGAAAACTAGCAAATAAAATAACTGAACATATATCCAGTCTGCATATCTTACATAAAATATTCCAGGATAACCAAATAGTCAATGATGGTAAATTCTTCTTTACAGAAAAATTCCGGCGAATAAATGCTGAAGAAATAAAAGAATTAGAATGTCACCTTTTCCCAACTTTAATAATAATAAAAGCTTTCTGCAATAATCATCACTGGCTGCTAAAAAGGATTAGATGAAAGACTGGTTGGTGGGAAAATATTATAATACATGGATTAGGCTGAGAACACCTGAACCAAATGATGCATCTTTTTTTTTTTTAACTGAAACATAATTGATTATACATATTGGAAGGGTACAAAGTCAACTATCAATACTTGTGTACAATATGTGAAGATCAAATCAGGTTAGCTTATTCATCATTACAATACGGAATCATTCTTTGTGTCCATTAAATGATTTCTCATTAGCCCCCTTTCCCTTCCCCTCCCCCTTTCCACTTCATGAATCTTAACATTACTAGAAATAGGACACCTAAGTGGTATATTGTCCTGATCTCCTACATTAGAAAATACACAGCACTACCTAGTAAGTATTCTTTATTTTTTTTCTTTTTGTCTTTTTTTCGTGACCAGTGACGGGATCGCAACCCTCGGTGTCGCGCCCGCACTGCGCTCAACCAGTGAGAGGACAGGTCTCTATATGGGATCCAAACCCTTGGCGGGAGCGCCGCTGCACTCCCAAGCGCCGAACTCTACCGAGTGCGCCACCGGGCCGGCCCCCTAGTAAGTATTCTTGCGCCACCTTCACACAAAAAAAACCTGATTGGAATCAAACCTTAGACCTAACTACCAGTTTACAAGACATATAGAGAGCACAGAAGCAATTTAGATGACACATCAAAGATATCAGCCAAATCCAGAATATGAAAAAATCTACAAACAAGTCACCCAGTTTCTTTAAATAAATAGCATAATTGGGGAGGAAAGGTCACAAAAGAGACTTGTGTAATCTATCAATCTTCAGTCAAGAAAATCTGTAAAAATACATTTTTTAGATAAGAAAATCTAAACACAGATTGGGTATTAGATATTAAGGAAATTATTAGTGTATGACAGAAGAATCAAAATTGTCAAAATGTTCATAATTATTGAATATTTTAGAAATTTAGGGCCGGCCCGGTGGCGCACTGCTACAGTGCGCCGTTTGGGAACGCGGCGGCGCTCCCGCCGAGGGTTCGGATCCCACGTACAGACCGGCCGCTCACTGGCTGAGCGAGGTGCGGGCGCAACACCGGGGGTTGCGATCCCGTTGCCGGTCCCGGGCCGGGACAGGCGCGACACTGAGGGTTGCGATCCGTTGCCGGTCACGAAAAAAGACAAAAAGGAAAAAAAAAAAAAAGAAATTAAAAATTTTTTTTTAAAAAGTCTTTTTTCTGGGGCGGGCCCGGTGGCGCACTGCTCCAGGGCGCCGTTTGGGAACGCGGCGGCGCTCCCGCCGAGGGTTCGGATCCCACGTACAGACCGGCCGCTCACTGGCTGAGCGAGGTGCGGGCGCAACACCGGGGGTTGCGATCCCGTTGCCGGTCCCGGGCCGGGACAGGCGCGACACTGAGGGTTGCGATCCGTTGCCGGTCACGAAAAAAGACAAAAAGGGGAAAAAAAAAAAAAAAAAAGAAATTAAAAATTTTTTTTTAAAAAGTCTTTTTTCTGGGGCCGGCCCGGTGGCGCACTGGATAGTGCGCCGCTTGGGACGCGCGACGGTGCTCCTGCCCGAGGGTTCGGATCCCACATACAGACCA